GATTATTTATTCCAATGATAAATGAAAGCTTAACTTGAAGGATGCCATGCAGGGAGACTTAGCCCTTGGTTTCAACCCAGTATTGATCATGTAGAAGAAGATTATGCGTTGTGAACATCTTCTTTAAATCTGGGCTTTTAAATGAAGCAAAATTGTATGCACAGAGCTGGAAGGCATCCCAAGAGAATCTTTGGTTGAGAATGAGATGACCATATGATGCTACTCTCTTTTTAAAAACTTCACTGCCATTTTCTCCCTATTATAATTGTACAAAAGAAATGCAATTGTTGAAAACAGGCATTAATTTCATGAATAGCTCCATTATAGTTTGCAAAGTACTTTATCATTTAAATGCTCCTTATATTAAGCCTGTGTGCTCAGTCTAGAACCTAGGTTCAGAGTTGTCCTAGTTATCATTGACTGTAACCTCTACACAACCCTGGAGTCATTATTCAATTAAGGGTTTGCTTAGATCATATGGACCTATGGGTAAGTCTATAGGGAATATTTATTGATAATTGGCATAGAAGGGCCAAGCCCACTGTGGAGGGCACCAATACCCTGGGTTGTATAAAAACAATAACAACAAAAAAACTAAAACTAAAACAAACAAACAAACAAAAAAAACCCAAGCAAACATGACTGAGTGAATAAGCCAGTAAGTAGAATACGACATGGTTTCTCCTGTGCTCCTGGGCTGCTTGAACTCCCTGATTGTGGTAACATTGCATGGTATAGAAAGGAGTCATGCCTCCAGATTTCTACCTTGTGTTCTTGCCTTGTCTTCCCTCAGTGGTGAACTGCCACTTGGAAGCTTAAGACAAATGAGTCCTTTCTTTCCCAAGTTGATTTTGGACACACACATTGTGTATCATACCAACAGCAAGGAAACTCAAATGGGGGTTAATAGTATCAAAATTCTGTTAGTTTCCATCTGTCAAGTGGATTTTTACATGAAAATCTTGTGAGACATTGTATGGAGTAGAGGCTAAACCATATGCAAATGTCACTTGGAGAACTCACAATATTACAAAAGTTAACACAACCTGTTAACTTTTGCCTCACTACTGCCACAATTATTATTTTTAATTATTTATTTTGTTAGCATAAGTTTTATATCTATTTGCTCATCTCTAACCTCCCTTGTCATTGAAGCAGGTAGCTAACCTGTGACATCCTCAGTGACTCCTTCCCTGGGCCCCCCTCTAATGCTGTGGTTTCCTCCAGATAAGTTCAGTGTTGATTTTAACTGCCATTCACAAGATCAGGATACTTAATGTCAAAGTATATGGAGCCCAACTAGCTACCTCACAGTCCTTTCTACCTAGCCAATGACATACTGTGCATCAACAAACTATGAAAAAGTCATTTAATATATATGCAGCAGGATGGGAACATGGCTCATCAGTGTAGTACTTGCCTTACAAGTAGGAGTACCTAAGTACTTCAACATTTAAAGTCTCCAGAACTCACATTAAAAAAATAAACATGGTAGTGCTTGCTTGTCATCTCCATGGAGATAAAGACAGATTTCTGAACCTTGCTGGCCATTTAGAGATGATATTTTGCAAATTCTATGCTAGTAAGGGATGTTCCATCAGAGAGGGAAAGTAAGATAGGCAGAAACTGGAGAGTCATGAAGGATAATATTCAATTGATGGTTTGCTTAGATCATATGGACCTATGGGTGAGTGGGTGGGAAGTATTTATTGATAATTGACATAGAAAGTTGTCCTCCAATGTCGACAGAAATGCACATACAGGTGCGCATCTCCTGCACACACATATACTCCTCCTCAAACTCAGACTCACAAAAATAGATATCTATCTATATTATCATAACCTATGAATTTTACATCTTAAATCCAGTCAAAGTCTGTACAAATATTCTCTATAACTTATCACTCACTTGGAAATTTAACTTCATTTTTATAAAGTCCATGTGTATAACAAGTTCATTCCTTTATTTCATATTTTCTGTTTTGAGTTTTAAGTGATTCGATCATTATTTAATTTATGTACTGACAACTATGTCTTGTGTCCTATGTGGCATGGAATCATATGGTCTACCAAAATTAGAGTTGAATGACATTTATGTGGTTAAGTCTTCTTTTTTGAAACCATTTCTCTGAGACTCTGGGGACCCTGCCTGAGGTAGGACTATATCCACATTTCACATATCTTTATAACCCTCATAACCCTCTTCAGTTTTGAGAGAAACTGCTCACTTGTGATGTGGGGGTAGGAGTGTGGAATGTACGGTTGGTTGGCTTGACCATTGTACTCTGCGTATTATTGTCCTATCATAACAAGCATATGCCTCTGCTTCAGTTGCCTACAGTTTACCTCCCACCTCTGCTCATCTGCATTACCCTCTTCCATATACAATGATATTTCCTTGTTTACGTCCTGTACCCTGAGAGAACTTCAGCAAAGCATCTTTCCCCCATGTGAGATCAAGATTTGAAGTCAGTATTTTATTGGGTAGTCTCAGAGAGTAACTATTGGATCATTGATAGTGGTTAATATGCATAGAATACTCAACAAAAATCACAGTCTGGAGGAAAACAGACCTTTCAGTATCCAGATAATTACATATTTGCATCCATAGTAACATTTTTACCTATAGGTAGATAGCTGTATTATTCCATAAATGTGTGTGTGTGTGTGTGTGTGTGTGTGTTTATAGATGTACTTACAACTATAACTACAATCGTATATATTGTCTATATATGAAGAGAGAGTATGTGTGGGTATATATATATGTATGTGTGTATATATATATACATATATACACATAGCATACATGTATATACAGTCTTCAATTTACTAGTTTTAGGAACTTGAAATATACAATACTCGGGCATTAAATATATTCACACCATTCATCCATCAGCAGCAGCATCCAATTTTAAATCTTTTGTCTTATTCACATAAGCTTTCAACCACTTAACATATGAGAACACAGCCCTCTTCCCTGCCCACAGACTAAGCCTCTAGGGAGCAGCATCAGTGATTATTGTCATTTCCTTTTCTTTACAGTATAACTCTCTTTGCCCACTCATCTATGATGAGCAAGGGCATTGATCACTTAGGACCATTGTGTCACAGCATTATGGGATCTTGCTTAGGCAACAGAGAAAATGTGTTTTCCTTACCTCTCCAAGTGGCAGTCAGTAAATCTGGTCTCCCATGAGGCTACTCTTCTGTGGTTGTGGATGGCTATCTTCCTGAGTGTCCCTAATGGTTTGCTTGTGTGATTATGGCCTCACATGCATACTCTTCCTAAGCCAAACAGGTCTACTAGGATGTAACTGAAATAGTACTTCAAATTACTTATCTCCAAATACAGTTATACTTTGAAGGACTAGGGATTTTGATTTCCATCCCTAGTCTGGGTGGGCTTCGTTCAGCCTCAGCATGAATCTGGGATGATCCACTTAAACCTCAATTTACCACTTCAAGGAGGACAGCTTCACCATTTGATTTCTGGTCTTTTTGTTTATTTCTCACTTTATTTCTGTTAAGTTTTTGTTGTTTTATGCTGAAAATCTTAATCACTTATTCTGTATATGAATATTCTAGCTATTTCCTTTGTTGTTAACTAAGAATTACACACAACACGCCAAATTTATGAATCATCTGAAATCCATACCAATTTAATATTATTTATAAAAAAATTTTGCTCCAAACAGCTCAACCCAAAACTTCTTGTTATTTATTTTAAAAATGTATCTTTCCACATTAATACTTATCAATATAAATTCCTAATTATTGTATGTCTTTCTTTCAAATAGTATATAAAAAACTGAAGTTGCAAATCAAAATGATGATATTATTTTTCATGTATATGCAAATACATGTGTGTATGTATATAGTTTTCACATGTGTGAGTGTGTATTTATTCTTATGGACAAAGTCATTTCGGTGGTTTGAAGTTGTAACTGAGGTCCTTTCATTTCAACTTAAATAGCTTCCCTCAGGAAAAACATTTGGGTCAGTTCCATTTATAATGAACTCATTTGCCTTTTATTTTAAATTTTTTTGACAAGTGCCTTAAATTTTGTCTGTTTCTTAGGGGATAGATGTGCAGCATACATGATTCTCACTGTGGGTGTTTCTTACAGTTCTTTACTGAGGGATCATGCTTTGTACTGTGTTCTCATGCTCTTTGTCCATGTATTGATTTTACTTCTACCCTGTACTGCAATGATTGGTGACATCAAAGCCCTGTCATGGTGATACCCAGAGTACAGAGCAAATGGGCTCTAATATCACACAGGGATCTCTCCCGGAATCCATGGGTATACCCCAACATTTCACTTAATCGAACTGGATCAAAAACCCTCTCTTGAATACATTTCTTACAAGAAAAAAAAAGAAGTTTCCTTAATTGGATAGTTTATGTAGGGCAAAATGGATGTTATAGTGCCATCTACTCTATCCAGTATGCACATGGTCCTTAGAGACTGCTCTGTGGTGTTGGAAACCCAACTGAAGGCTTGAGAGACTCAGAAAGGAAACCACGCACCTATAGAAAGGGGCTGTTCCTGTTTCAGTTCAACATATAGCACATCCAGCATTTAAAATGGAATTAAATCTATTAAGCTATCTATTTTACAGATCTTAATGATTATTCCCTGCACTGTGATCCAAAGAGAGTAGACAAAGCTGCTTCTTCGAAGGCAATGGCCTTTTCCATAGTCTATAAACTGACCCAACTCAAGGGCAACCATCAAGAACAAATGAGCTTCTAATTAAATGTTCACCTCTTCAATAGAGGAAAGAACTAAACCAAAGAATGTCAAAGTCCTTTCATAGGCAAAGGTATCTTTGATTTTCAAGAGCAAAGACTCACTTTAATGTAGCTGAGCTGTCTTCAGTATAAGAAAATTCTCTTTAAGTCATGATACAGAAGCTATGAGTATGTCTTACATAAATTTTCTGGGTGTTTCCTTGATGGCTGTACAACCTTCTGACAATGTTTCTCTCTGTTGTAGTGACCCAAGGAGGTGTGTCTCTGGTCTCTGACATGTGTCCAGATCCTGGAATTCCAGACAATGGCAGAAGAGCAGGTTCTGACTTCAGGTAGGATACAAAACAAAGGAAAATTAGTTATTTTCTAACACTTATGCCTGGGATGTCATTTATAATTCACTTGTACTACAGATGGGAAGAAATAACCTGACAATAATTAAAAAGCTGCAGTACTTGCAAGACTCTAGACATATTATGGTGATCATTTCCAGGTACTTGATATTAATAGCTTCAGAAACTAAACTAGGCTAAAACTTTGTCTCTGAAAAGTGTGTGAAAAATTATCTTCAAATTTTCTTATATTTAAATCTGTGTCACTTGATATTCTAATGCTTAAAAATGGAGAACGCAGAAATTTTATTACAGCCTCATGATTATTGCCTCAATAAACTTTTAAGGTGACAAATACTGCTGGCCTTCAGTAATATTTACTACCAAGATGCTAACAATCATTTTAGGATTATGAAGAGCTGGAGACCCCTTCCTCTCCAGGTGGTATACCTTGATGCAGTTGAGATTACAATCACTCCAGGGCTTTGGATTTCTTTGTATCTCTCAGTTCAGGATTGTTATATTCATCACTCTACATGAGCATCTAGCAAACAAGAGTAATCTCAAGAAAATCAAGAGTGAAAGGCACAAGGAAAGAGTTGTCCTTCCTTATAATCTGCTCATTTGTTTGAGAGATAGACAGAATTAAAGCTACTGACATGGACTGAAAAGCTGTGTTAGCCATTCAGAGGGAAGGGGCAGTTGTTCAGAGAGTTGACACAGCAGCAATCCCATTAAAGAGGATGAGGAATCATGACACTCATCTGTGGGATGGCTGTCACGAAGTCGATGCTATCCCTAGAGTCTCTGCCACCAGTTACACAGAGCTGTAGACAGAATGAGTTTTCAAAAAGTGTTTTATTTAAGATGCTAGACTGGAAAATCTTAGGTCAAGGGGCCACATGTGGCAGAGTCACAAAGTGGGGCAGGCTATTGAATGACTGGGAGCTTTGTTGAATGAAGATATTTGGACCTCACCCTCTTCCCTCCCTATCTCCTATCTCTCATTAAGAAGCCACTTCGATTCCAACCCTGGTCTGCCCTATGATTCACTTAACCTAAACCACCTCCCAGTTCCTACATCTAAAGAGAGCAGCTGGATTAAGTTCTCACCCTTATAATTAGCTCTTGGATTTAACCCACACAGTCCATACTAAACCAGAGTATCTATCCACAGTGTGTGTGTGTGTGTGTGTGTGTGTGTGTGTGTGTGTGTGTGTAGAAAAAAGAAACAAATGTAGCAGAAGGAGCTCCAAATGCTACATTTTAAATTTCAGGCTCCAGGACTAATAGTTTAAGGGCCAGAGGCTTAGACACTTAGCCAGAGGTGGTGACTTGGTTACTTTTATTCTAGTGTTGTTTGAGTTTTGCTTCCTTTGCTGTTGTATTTTGTTGTAGACTTGACATGTCAGAGTTGTATCAGATGAAGGAATCTCAGTGGAACGATTGCTTTCATCAACTTGGCCTGCAGGCAGATCTGTGGGCATTTTCTCCATCAATAATTGAAGTTGGGGAGCTCAGCTCACTAGAGATGGTGTTGGGCTGTATACACTGCCTGCCTTTGGATCCTTTTTTCTTAACTGGACTGCCTTGTCTAGCCTCACAAGAAGATAATGGACCTAGTCTTACTGCTATTTGATGTGGGAAGGCTTGTTGGTATCCATGGGAGGCTTCCTCATTTCTAAGGAGAAGGGGAAGAAAGGTGGATGCTGGGGGAGGGTGAGAAGGAGGGACTGGGTGGAAAGGAAGGAGAGTAAACTGCAATTGGGATATAAAATAAATAATTTAATCAACAAGAAAGAAAGAAACAAATGAAGGAAAGAAGGAAGGAAAGAAGGAAGAAAAAAGAAAAGAAAAGAAAAGGAAAGAGAAAGAGAAAGAGAAAGAGAAAGGGAAAGGGAAAGGGAAAGGGAAAGGGAAAGGGAAAGGGAAAGAGAAAGAGAAAGAGAAAGAGAAAGAGAAAGAAAGAAAGCCAGCCAGCCAGACAGACAGACTAGGCTGATCAAGTCATAGGAAACGAGTAAGTAAGTAGCACTCCTCCATGGCTTCTGCTTCAGTTCCTGCCTCAAGGTTCCTGCCTCAAAGTCCTGCCCTGACATACCTCCATAATTCTATAACCTAAAAGCCAAACATACCCTTTCCTTACCACCCCATACCCTACCCTCTTTGGTTTTTGTTGAGTGCTTTATCACAGCAACAAAAGGAGAAATAGGACAGAAAGAATGGGGTTTTGATTTGCTAGACTTGACTATGCTGTTTGGGAGACTCTTAGTGTTTCTATTGCAGTAATGAAACACTCTGACAAAGATTTAACTTGAGGAGGAAAGCGTTCATTTAGCTTATACTTCCAGATCATAGTCCATCATTGGAGGAAGTCAGGTCAGTGGAGGCTGAAAAATTGCCTTTAAATAATAAGAGGCCACCATCATTTAAGGAAAATCTTCCCAGAAGTATTTATTTTTTGGGGGTCAACACAAAGAAGCTGTGGTCCAGAGAGTGATGACATAGCTACTTGGCAGATAATATGTCCCACATGGTAATGGCTTAAAGCCATGAAGAAGTCATGGTGTACAGATGAGGCTTGGCACTGTATGGCAGGGTCAGTGTCTCAGTGAATAGAGGGTGCAGCCTTCATTTCTATAGAGATTCCAGCAAAAAGGGAAATGTCATAACCATGAGACTACCCCAAGCACAAGATTTATAGTGAAGCCAATCTGAGATTGCAAGAAAGGCTGTGTCTGCTGTGGAGGACAGAGATAGAGGGCAATGAATGGACTCAATCTCTCTGGAGCCCAGAAGATCACCACTGAGTCCCAGATGCTTCACATGACACTCTATGCTTTAGGATTTGCTTTTGTTTGATCAGATTGTGACTGTCTTATTCTTCTCTCTTAGACAAAGAAATTATGTATATAAGTGTATATATAGATGTAGATATAGATAATGATTATATATTTGTACACAGAAGGGAGAAAGGCCATAGTTAAGAGACTTTGGATTTTAACAAGACATTGAACTTTTAAAGTGTTGGAATTTCAAAGTTGGACCATGTTTTATGCTGTAATATTAACTGCCTCACATGAGTCAATGAGAAGCAGACTGAATCTGCTTCTGATGTCTTCTCTGTTCTTACCTCAGTTCCTTTGAGTCTCTGTGTTCTGCAAGCATGCAACAGGCAAGACGATAACCACTTGGAATTGGCTGGAAAGAAAATCTAAAGAGTGTTTTGATTTTATTTTGAAGTTCCACGAGACATTTATTGCTAGGCAATTTTTCAAGGAGAAAAGATATAACTTTTGATTTCTATTGGTGGATTTCTTTGCCTTGCCTGAACAGGCGGTGTGGAAACTTATTACAAGGTTGGTTGGGAATAAGGGCTGCTTATGGCTTCTTTATTCCCAAGCTGAGGAGGAAGGAATTCTGATGTTGTCCATGAGTGAAATATCAGCTATAAGTTTTAGTATGGTGACCGTTATTGGATTGAGGATGTAATGATCTATTTTGTATTTGTTTGAAATTTTTTAACACAAATAGATATAAGATTTTTGAAAACTATTTTCTACAGCTACAGTGATGATTTCAGCTTACATGCTTAAATTTTTAATATTTTGTGTTGATACATTTCCAGTGTATCAATCCCAGATTTAGTGATAATGTTAGTATGGATAAGAGGTGTTAGACTTTTACAACATCCTGTCCTTTTCCAGTGTTAGAGAAGGAGAGAAGGTCTCTGCATTCCAGGCAAGCATCTTCCTGTGGACTCACCACCTGACATGATATTGCCCTGCTTCTGTGTTGTTAGATTTCACTTTGTAAAAGTTCACATGTATCTTATATACAGTTTCATGATGTATAATCCTATAAGGACTTCGTACAGTTGCATATGCATCTCCTTTCATTACCTGTTTATAATTTTTATCTGGCAGAGGATTTTACCTTTTCATTCAAGTTGACACTCTTACCAACACAAAATGTTTCATAGTACCTTCTTTTTTTAAATTTTTATTGGATATTTTCTTTATTTACATTTCAAATGTTATCCCTTTCCCACTTTCCCCTCTGGAAACTCCCTATTCCATCCCCCCTACTCCTGCTTCTATGAGGGTGATCCTCCACTCATCCACCCTCTGCCACCTCCCTACCTTCAAATTCCCTTACACTGGAGCATCAAACCTTCATAGGACCAATGGCCTCTCCTCCCATTGATGCCCAACAAGGCCATCTTCTGCTACATATGCAGCTAGGGCCATGGATCCCTCCATGTGTACTTCATGGTTGGTGGTTTAGTCCCTGGAAGCTCTGAGGGGTCAGGTTGGTTGATATTATCATTCTTCTTAAGGGATTGCAAACACCTTCAGCTCCTTAAGTCCTTTCTCTAACTTCTCCATTGGGGACCCCATGCTAAGTCCAATGGTTGGATGCAAGCATCTGCCTCTGTATTTGTCTGCTTCTGGCAGAGCCTATGAGGAGACAGTTATATCAGGCTCCTATCTACATGCACTTCTTGGCATCCACAATACTGTCTGGGTTTGATGACTGTATATGGGATGAATCCCTAGGTGGGGCAGTATTTGGGTGGCATTTCCTTCAGTCTCTGCTCCATACTTTGTCTCAATATTTGCTCCCAAGAGTATTTTGTTCCCTTTTCTAAGAAGAATGAAAGCACCTACACTTTGGTCTTCCTTCTTTTATAGCTTAATGTGGTCATTGAATTGTATCTTGGGTATTCCAAGATTTGGGCTAATATCCAATTATCAGCGAGTGTATACCATGTGTGTTCCTTTGTGATTGGGTTACCTCACTTAGGATGACATTTTCTAGTTCCATCCATTTGCCTACGAATTTTATGAATTCATTGTTTTTAATAGCTGAGTGGTACTCCATTGTGTAAATTTCCCACATTGTCTGTATCCATTCCTCTGTTGAAGGTCATCTCGGTTCTTTCCACCTTCTGGCTATTTTAAATAAGGCTACTATAAACATAGTGAAACATGTGTCCT